GGATCTGCAGGGAACAGCCCTGGAGAGCGTTAAGCTGCAGCTTTCCGGCACAAATGGCACGCCCGTCCCAGCCGGCTTTCCCTTTGGTCCTTTCCTGTTCCTTAAGAACCAGGTTATTATGACGATATCATTACTACTCTGTTAGTTACCTTTTCTTGGTAATTCATTTTGACAGATAAATCCATTGATGTATTTGATTTTGATAAGAGGGTGACTTACTTCATATTCTGACAAGTTATCAGAATATGTTTGGAAAATGGTCAGAAGTCGTCCAGGATTGTAAGCTGCCCTGTCTTCAGTGATTTTGTTTACTCTGTATTAGTCTGTTGTGTTTCGCATTAAATAATGTGAAATGAGGTTTCCAGACAGTTCTTCCTTCCCCGCTTTGACTCTCCTAATCTGCATGGCACACTGTAAATCTGGTGACTATTGCTATGGTGTTTTACTAATAAACTGCTACAGTGGCTATTGCTTTTATAATTAGCTATTAATGATCAGTGTTTTATTGCTCTGATAAATTTACTATTTCAACATTTAATAATTACCCTTTGGTCCTTGTGGTTCACTATTTTTCCTATGATGCTATAAAACAGGCAAACCCTGGTTTGGTTATTTATTTACTTATTTAATTGATCTTAGAGAGAGGAAGGGAGGAAGAGAGAGAGAGAAACATCAGTGTGAGAGAGAAACATCAATGGGTTGCCTCCCGCATGCCCCCCTGCTGCGGGTTGAATCTGCAGCCTGGATATGTGCCCTGACCTGGAATCGAACCTGCCACCTTTTGGTATATGGGATGACGCTCCAGCCAACTGAGCCACCTGGCCAGGGCTAGTTATTTTTTATTGTTGATATACGTAGATTGAATATGGTATACTTAGATTGACTATGAATTAGATTGACAAAAGAAGATTTTCTACACTTTGTTGTCCTCATAAGCTTTTTCATTGGTTTATGTTTATCACTACAGATTAATAAATATGAACAACTCTGTGAATTTAAGAAACAGGACGCTTATCACAAGAAGAGAGAGTTGGATAAATTAAGGCTTAAAGAGATAAAAGTGAAAGATAGAGTTACTACCAACACAGTGGTAAGAAAGAATAAGTTATGCTTCTCAAGCCTGACCCAGGCACCGCTACATACATATGTTACCTTTAGTATAGCCGGTAACAGGCTTTTTAAAGAATTGATTTTAATTTATGTTCCTGTCATGCTGGAAGAATATTTTTTGGCATGTTAATATTTTCTGATACTTTATCTGAAGTGTTACAGCGCAATTGTGTTTTCTTCAGGAGTAGGGTGGGAAGAGGAAGTTTGACATGTCTTAGGTACAAAGATGGGCCAAAATACTAGAAAACGGATTTTTTTTTAAATGCATACAACGCCATATATAACATTTCTATGATATTGCTTTATTTTACATAACAAAATGATTAACTATGGGCAGATTCCTTAATTCTGAATGTGTGATGATAAAACAGAATTTAGGCTCTCCTCTTATATTGGGTATAGGAACATTAATATGGAAAGGAGACTATTTGTTTATTCGTTAGAAAATACTTCAGAACTCTCTGGTTCTATATCTTTTTTAAATTAATAACATTGAGTGAAAGCCAGCACTATGTTAAATATTTTGTGAGGATCATCCTTATTTTAAAGATAAGAAAGCTGAAGCTTATGGAGGTGACTATAATTGAAAAGGTCAATGATAATACCACTTCTATATTAATTAAAACAGAAATGCCTGTTAATCTTCTATCACAATTAGTTGAACTGAGCCTTCATTTCTTCCATGTGGTTATTTCTTCTATCTCTATTGAGAAATACATGTAAAACTAGATATGGGGCAACAGTAATACTAAAACATCATACCTCTTATCAGAATGCTCAGCTAACTCCATTACGTCTTTTAGAGGGTGGTTCTGATCATTTTAATTATAATATATTGGTTATGATATCCAATTACAAACCATCAGTCAAATCGAAACTTCCCCCCAAATATGTGCATTTAAAAATATCATTATCTGGTTTTTAAATATCAACATAGTAAGGAAGTGTGAGTCAGGCTCGGCTCAAAGGAGAACACAGAGGTTGTATAAAATGGATTTGATCTGCATGCCCAAGTATTTATCTCTAGTTTGGGCCTCATAAATAATAAGCCAAGTGCCCTCCCAGTTCTAGCTTGGGAAAATGAAGCCCGTGTTCCTTAATCTGTACTCCAAAGACCTCCAAGGTCAAGTTAGACAAGGCTTGAAGGTGTCGTGTTTCCTCTCCCCAAATCTAGCCTGCCCACCCCCACCCTACTTTACCAACAGAGAATAGTGTTTAAAGCACAAACTTGAGTGTCATAGAGACCTGGGTTCAAATCTTGACTCTACCAGCCCAAAGTTTTATTTTCAATAAAATGGGGCAACATTACTGCCTACTTCAAAGGGCTTTTGTGGAGATCAGATGAGGCCATGCCTGCATGGCTTTTAGCTGAGTGCTTTGTGTTTGGTAAAGTTTGTTGTTATTATTGCTCAAGATTAGAAAACAACATTTTGGCTGCGGGCTGATACTATAGAGAATATCAAGTTACTTCGTTAGAAAATAGGTACTTCATGCAGTACCTTTAGTTTAGAAAACTCTGCAGCCAGGTCAAGCTGATGTCCTGTTGGCAGGAAAGAATAACGGTGTATGAATCTCAAGGGGGCCTGCATATCCAGGGCAGGGGGAACTGAGGGCGAGAGGTAACCGATGCCAGGCTCTGTGGCTTTCAGCATGTCGTCACTAATCCTGATGATCGGTCAGAGTCCTGTCGACAGTCTGCTGACTTTTGATGGCAGTTCTAGGATTTCAGACCCCTTTACTCTGGAACTAGTTACATGGGTGCTTTAGAGAAGGAATTCGTTTTGAGCAGCTGTCACTCCCCTTTCTCACCTGGCAGGATGGAGACCACCTCTGTGCTGCCCACAGCTGTTTCTGTGACCCCCCACTGATGTGCAGGGTTAGATGGCATTAAATAGTCTGTCCACAGTGACGCTGTGCTGGAGAGCAGAGGAATTCGGTGAGCTCTGTTCTCCCTCACAAGCCAAAATGCAGACCCAAGGCTCTGATAACGTTGCCTTCCCTTTTCTTTATTACAAAACTGCATGGTCAGAATATCTGTTTCACTATGAATTTCCTTCATCCATAATTCCTTTTTTTAAAATATGCTACCTTTTTTTCACAGTATCCAGCTGTTTCATTTTCAAACTTCTGATTAAATAATTAAGAAAGAAAATTTTTTTCAGCATGAAAATATCTATCAATTAAGGTTAAAGACCCAATTTGTTTATACGTGTTTCTAATGCTCATCCTACTCTCTGGGATTAACATTTTGAAGATGATTATGAAAATACAGATTTGTTTATTTTTTAAGTGATGGTTAAAATAAATTCATGTCTTGAAAGTGGTTTTCATAGTTCTCAAATCCTCACTGCTCTGTTTGCTTACCCTTCCTCCCAAATATTTTTTTTCTGATGATTTCAGAATTATTTCTGTCCAAGTTTGTCTTTTGAAGAAACAATTATGATGTTTGCTTTTATTTTAACTAAAGGACACCCCCAATGTAGAAGTTGAGTGGGGGATACATGACTATTTAGTGAATTGAACCTCTGTCGTGAATCATTTGACAATGATTGAGTGCCATAATTTTTTAAAAATTTTTAATAGATAATTAGTGATCACACTGCAGAGATAACAGAACTGCAAGAAGTAGTAAGACACTGGGAACAACAGCTCAAAGAAATAAAGAAATCCTGTAGTAACCTGGAGAATAAAATGTAAGTATGATGCTTTATTTTTACTGAAGCATGTCTCAATGTTATGTTTCTTACATTAAAAAAAATTTTATTAGATAAACATTATACTCTTTTAGTTTACTAAAATTTGTGTGGTTGTTGGCTTTATAGCAGCACCTCTTCATTTTGAAATGAATCAGTCTTTCAAGCAATCAAGAGAAAATATTGGGGCTGCTGCAGTCAGCTTGGGAGAAGGCAGGGACTCTGTGGAATGCATCACTCCCACTTCAGTTTCTGACTCCCTGCAAGCAAATATGCCCCCGGGAAGGCATTAGTGAGGCTGCAGACACCTACCCATGCAGTTACGGTGGCTGTTCTTAGTCAAGGGGGACTTGCAGAACTTACTGAGAAAACAAGGGAAGCCTCAGGGCAAAAACTTTTATCCATGGGACTGAAACCAGAAACTTCAGAGAATCTCAGTCCATCCCAAGGCCCACAGTCTCTCTTCCTTTTGTGAAAGTGTTTCTTGCTTCTCTCTTTATCTGACTGCTGTGTTCTCCTCCTGGTGAGCCCATGGCTAAGCGTGGCCATTCCAAACACTCTGAGTTTACCTGTCACAGGCCCATCTATCTTTAGAGATTGGCCAACAGACTCTCTTCCAGGATAATTCCCAGATTTCCCATCAAAAGCTGTTTGGCTCAGCTTTGGACCGGAAGGTGGGGTCTTGTAATATAAATATGACTTCTGGGCCTACCTCCAGGGCTTGGCTTAAAAGAAAAATTGTGGCCCAGCTGGGGGTGGCTCAGCAGTTGAGCATTGACCTAGGATCCGGGAGATAGCAGTTTGATTCCTGGTCAGGGCACATGCCTGGGTTGCAGGCTCCATCCCCAGCAGGGACGTGTAGGGGGCAGCCGATCAGTGACTCTCTCATCATTGATGTTTCTGTCTCTCCCTCTCCCTTCCTCTCTCTGAAATCAATAAAGACATTAAGTAAATAAATAAATAAGTAAATAAATAAATAAATTCAAATTGTGAACTGAGCAGATTCTGCAAAAGACAAGTAACTTCACACGTGGAATCACATTATAATATGGCTCATTTGTACACACAAAGATTTTAATGTATTGTGATTAAAATTATGTCTATTAAAACAGTTGCCCAGTACAGCAATAAATCATCATCATTGGTCCACACAATAGGCAGTAGTCTTTGCACTCAGTACCAGATTTAAAATGGGAAAACTCATGCATTACTACAGTTCAAACTCAGAGTAAAAAATCTTTTTCTCCGAAAATGATTCAATAGTTTCAGTTCCTATATGTTGAAGACTCATCGTGGAAGATACACATTAGCTCTTAGATTAGTTCTAGGAGTTATGATTAAAAAATCTTACTACACTGATGAAGTTTTATTTATAAGCATTCTTCATGTTAGCTAAATTGTTTTAAATATCTTTTCAGGAAGAAAATGGGAATTCATAGGTCTGCCATTTATAATGGCTCATTTTTTTTTTTTTAATCCCAGCTTTTTAAGAGTTTCCATTCCATTGGAATCTCTCACTAAGGAAAAGTGCTTTTGATTAATTTGGTGATTGAGGATGTAGGTTACCCCCTTTTTATTAATAAAACTTTACTCTTTTTTACTTGGCAAATTAAAAAAAAATTCTCTGCATTCTTTTCATGTTCTCACTTGATTCATTTCCTCTTCCTGGGGAGGTGGGGAGAGGTAGCCTAGTTCGTGTTTGGTGGGTTTGAAAAATCAGTGTTGTTTTATAAGATTCTTTAAGAATAAATTATACAAGAAACTAAAATAATTTGCACAACTCATCTTCCTATTAACCCATAAGCCTTAATTTTCACCCCATGAAATCTTTAACCTGCAAGCTTGTTACTTATTTTGAGGTCAAAATATTAAGGAAAAAAACAAAAATCACACAATGCTGAGTTTAAATTCTATGTGTAGACAGTTAAGAATAGCTCTGATGTCCATGGGAGGTTTATAGTTTAATCCTTGTTTTTTGTTATTATTGATATTCAGCATGATGTGTTTGCAGAATGAAGGTGACTCAGTGCCTGCCTTTCTAAATTGCTATTTAGCTGGTTTTTAACACACAGGAAGTGGGGAATTGGAAAGTAAATGTTGTATATAAATGGCATCCAATTTGTGACAGAGAATGTATATTACCATTACAGCGTGGGAGACTATGAAAATTATAGATGCTTTTTAAAAGGGTTGAAATGGTTTCAAAATTGGCAAGGTTGCTAATGACCTCCATCCTGCCAAACACTAGGGATCTAGTCTATTCCTTAAAGTTTTTGGATTCTTAACAGAATGTGACACAGATAATCACGTCAACCTTCTGGAAATATTTTCTTCACATTCTCTCATTTCACTCACTAAACTGCTCCTTCTCAGGACTGTTCACTTGTTCCAGTTCTTTCTGACTTTAAAATGTTGGAGTTCTCAGCTCTTCGCTATTCTGCACTTGCACTCTCCATACATAATTTCATGCAATCTCGTGACTTTAAATTCCTCCTCTATCCCAGTGACTCTCAAATTTATATATCCAGCCTGACCTCTAAATGCATGTACTCTAAGCCTCATTTTACCTTTCCATTTGGAGGATATCTATGAGATATCTCAAATATAACATGTCCTAAACAGAATCTTAATTCCCCACCTCCTTGAAACAGGTCTTCCTTCAGTCTTATTGATTTACCTAATCAATACAACCAAAAACACAGAAGTCATCTACCATTCGTGTTTTTGTCACTGCCTAACCCTAACCCAACTCTATCTCCAGCCAAATCCATAAGCATGTCCCGTTGCCTTCGTCTTGAAAATATATCCTGAATTCAGCTGTTTCTCATCATCTCCACCATTCTCTCTTTTGGATCCCTGCCATTGCCTTCTTCATGGTTTGTCTTCCTATACTAGTGTCTTTCTCCACTAAGTAGCCAGAGTCATCTTTACAAGATGCAGATCAGTTCATGTCACTCCTCTGCTTTGAAAATCCTTTCGTAGTTTCCTTCAGAATAAAACCTGAAATTCTCCCTTACCCTCAGGACCTTATATAACCGAGCCTCTGTCTACCTCTCTCGCTTTCTCACACTCCTCTCTTTGTAAAAGCACGCCAAGCTTGTTCCTACCTCAGGATATTATCACCTTCAGGTCAGCACGTGTCTGGCTCCTTCTCATTGTTCAGGCTTTTCACCAGGCCTTCCAAGAGGCCTGTCCGGTCTGAAGTAGCATCCTTGCTCTCAGGATTTCTCTACCCTTTCCCCTTCCTTGTGTTCTCTGGAGCACTTAACACTATCTCAAATATATTATTGATTGATTGATTGATTGATAACTTGCTTATGTTCTGACTACTCCAACTACGGTGCAATCTTTATGAGAGCAGGTCCTTTGCTTGTGCTGTTTCTCTAGTACCTGCAACACCTGCAAAGTACAGGTATTCAATAGTTGCTTCTTAAATCATTGAATAGAATAGTACAGCATTAATTCATCAGTTCAAAAAAGTAAAATCTTTTATCTATGATAATGAATATATAAGTAAATATGTTACGTAGAGTAACATGGCTTTGTTGAAAAACATGTCTTAATATGAATTTGTTTGGCTTCCTTTGTTCATAGAGATTTTTTTAAGAAGAGCAAGATCAAACTGGAAGATATGTCTAATATTGAAAAAAATGAATTCTTGATGAAGATAAAGGAGGTAGGAAGACAGAAATGATGATTTTTAGATTATAATTAGATTTTATTTTTTAGTTAATATTTTAAATGTGATAAATTTGAAATTTTCCAAAAGTAGATTTTTTATTAACTTATAATAATCATGATCATTCACAGTAATTGATTCAAAGACTTTATTCCCTCCAGACTACTTTAAGTATACATAAAAGAGCAAAGATTGTCCACGTGAAGATGAATTATTTTCTTGATAACTTTTCGTGTGGGCATGGTTATTTAACATTAGGAATATCCATGACTAATAGACATTTTTCATATGAATTAATTAGAAAAACTAAGAGTTCCTTGCTGTTGTGTGGTACCCGTGAAGTGTAGCAACCTGCAGTGCACTGAATAATGCTAGTGAAATATTTGAGTCAGATTTAGCCCCCAGGAGAATTTGCTAGACATTTTAAAACTTAGGTTGTAAGAAATGTGATGTCTTAAGTCAATAGTCATGGGTGTAAGCCAAGATTTATCCACAAGATATTCAATGAAGCACTTATTATGATAGTCGAACAATTAGACAATACAATTAAAGCTTAACAGAAGTGCCTTGATTAAATGTCAGAGCTTATGATATAACAAATATAATATAAAACAGTACATATAATATGACCCAATTTATTTGTACACACACACACACACACACACACACAAATACACCAGTCCTAAGACACCTTAACCTGCCTTCAGGTTTCTTTGTGATCACGGACCATGGCTCGTTAGCTTCTGATTCACCCTCTGCCAGAGGGTGAAGCTCTTTGGGATCCCAGACTGACACGATGGGAGGTTTATCACACTCTGCACCTGGATTAGCTCTAAGTGTTGACTTTTGTCCCCCTTGTCATGTAAGAAAACCAAAGCTCAGTTTTCAAGTGGTTTTTTCCATATCTGTACATGTCCTAAGGGTAAAAAGACTTTTCAGTGCTGGATTTGCCACTGTGGATTCTTGCTTTCCTGTAGAAGTAGGCCTAGTAATTCCTCATGATCTTGTTAATTATTCAACACTTAAAATTTTTTTTCATCCGGCTATTTTAGCAGTCCTCAGCCAGAAGGTTATTTTGCACCATTTAGCCCTCCATTGATGCTAAATCTATCTTTTCCACCTCATTAGAAGCAATTCAATAGAGACTTCCAAACACGAAGTTTTTACCTCCTTCAGAACACTAACAGAACCTTAAATAGAAAACTTAACAAGAAGCAAGCATAATATCCAGTCAAAGAGGTTTTGAGCAAGAATTTCTGGTGATATTATACTTTACTCTCCCGGTGTAGTTTATCTTCTGGAAAAAAGACATGCGCCATAAGCTGAACGATCCCAGCTTATTAATCCCAATACTATTTCAATATGAATTATTACTCTGTGGCTTTGCATCAGTGTTTACTGCCTTTCTACACTTCTGTCCTAACTTACAGAAGAGGCCCCCAAATGTGTAACTGCACATTTGATCTAGAATTAAGGCGCTCACCACTTGTGGCATAGCCCCCGTGTGCTAAGCAATATGCTCAGCTCTGGAGAGGCGCCCACCCGACCCCGGCTCCCCTCGAAGGCACTGTGAATGAAGCCCTCGCCTTCAGTCCCTTTGTCGCCTTTTTCTTCTAGGTGGCTGAAATGCTGCACAAAGCTCACTTAGAGAACAAAACTCTACAGGACAAACTGCACACTCTTAGCAGACAGTATAAGATTGTCCTACAGGAGGAAGAGCAGGTTTTCGCGCAGAAGAAGAAGCTGCAGGATGAGTATGTTTCCGTCTCTGATCCGCACGTGAGCCAGCATGTCGCGGCCAGGGGCTGCTTTCCTTGCTGCAGACCGTTAACTCCACCTGTCATGGTTTTAAAATCCATTGACAACGATATAATAACATTCATCACCTAACAGTAAATAAACACGCTCCTAATCTGTCTCTATAATACCAAGAAAAACTTCCCTCATGTGGGCCAGATCGAATTCATAAACCTCCAACGCATTATTTTGACTTCTAAATCAGATCCTTGAAAGCATAGTCATACTTTGACTCCACAAAGCAATCTAGAGAAACCGCGAGATCCGCCTCCGTCGGAAACTGGCTCTGACGTGTACGCCCTGTCCCCGAGAAGGGTTTGGTCACTGACACTCCTCTGACGCCGAGGCTGGGGGACTGTTCAAGGAAACCGCTGTCTTTCACGGCTCGGTGGACTCCCTGTAAGCACCACGGCTTGTCAGCTCCACCTCCCAGATATTTCTCGGATATACCCTTCCCTCTTCTCCCACTCCATTCTTTTCACCCTCTCCGCCCCTTTGGGGTGGCTTTCTTCCCCTTAAGGGCTCTTCCCACTTTCTGCTTCCCCGCCTCTGTCTCGTCTCCCTCCCTTTCACTAGAATGATCCTTCCGAAACATCCCAGCTGGGCTTACGGTCACTGTTGTTGCACTTAAGCTGCAGCGAGTTGTTGCAGTCATTTTATCTCATCCCGTTGAACGGCCTACTGAGAAGAATGCTGTTAATATTCTTCAGGCAAAAAGCTTCCTCAGGTCAATACTAAGTTATCAATTTGAAACATAAAATGTACTGATGACAAATAATGGTAACGCTAAAGCGTTTACCACTGTTACTGGTTCGTGTCTTCTTCAGCTTGGGCTGCCATAACAAAATCCCGTAAACTGGGTGGTTTAAACAACAGAAATTTATTTCTCACGGTTCTGGAGCCTGGCTGTCCCAGACCAGGATGCAGCAGGGTCAGATTCTTGCGAGAGCTCCCTCCCGCTTTCTCATGGTGTCCTCACATGGAGAGAGACAGAAGGAGAACCCTAGGGTCTCCTCTTATTCAGGACACGAACCTCTTCCTGAGGGCCCCACCCTCACGACCTCGTCTACACCTGACCTCCCCCCAAGGTCCCTGGCTTCAGATACCATCGCGCTGGCGGGCAGGGCTTCAACACGCGGATTTGTGGCCGACACAATTTAGTCCACAGTAGTTTTGAAGACGACAAGACATTTAGATAAAATAATTTGTTTCAAGTACGTTCTTATCAATGTTGGAAATGTGAACAAAACCATAATCTTCCTATTATTCTTTCTGCAAGTTAGAGCCAAAAAAAAAATAACCACTTTTTATAAAATGCTTACATCTCATTTAAGCCCTATACCAGGCGAGATGGGTATTGTAATCCCCACTTTATGGATGGGGAAACGGAGGCTCACTAGGAGGTAAAGTTTCTTTTCAAGTCTCACTCCTGGGAAGAGGTAGAGCCAGTATTCAAAATCGGTCTGACTGACCCTTTTACCTTTCACAAAAGAATGTGGCAGAAGCAATAAATGTAGTAGGAGAGACACCCACTCAGAGGGATAAGGTGCTGGAGAGATGTTCTTATTGTTTTATGGTTCCTATTGTAGTTAGTGTTCTTTTCATAGCTTGGGAATTTTCATACATTTAGATTTAGCCACCACAAGCAGGAAGACTTTGTTTCTATTTTTACTGATTCATTGGGAAAATTCATTGGGTAAATAGTTTATGAACTGAACTTTCCAAACTACTTTGGAAATTTTTGTGATGGCATATTTTCTCTTGCTAAGGATTTCAAAATGATTATTTAAACCTTTAATATATGATAGCTCTGTGTGTTGTTGTTTTTTTTTCATGGCAGAAATCATAAACAACTGACATTTATTGCTCAGAAAGAAAAGTTCCTATCACAAAGAAAAGTAGACATCAAAAACATGGAAGAAGGACTTGTCACACTTACTGAACTTCATCGGTATGTTTCTTGCCTTTGAAATTTTTAATCTTCATTCTTCTCTGCATTTACTTTTTAATAAATAGTAACAACAAATCTATGTCGATTTCTAATATACTATAGAAAAGGAGGTTTATAATTAGCTCTCATCGTTTTACAGTCCTGAAAAGTCATCGTCAGTGAATCTTTCATTGGAAGGATAGACAGGTCTGAGTTCTATACAAGCTGCGAGGCCTGGGACTGGATGAGTTAGGGGTCCAGTGATAAGAATGTGCCCAAACATTATGACAGCTCTGACCCCCTGTGTTGTTTATTTCCACCATTCTAAATCATTTTAATTTTTCTGATTAGAAAAGTAATGCCTATACCTGATTTTAAAATTCAAATATAGAAATGTGTAACTTAGGGAGTAGAAGTTACCTAATCTCTCCACAGAGATAATCACTGTTAACGGTTTGCTATACATGCTTTCTAATATATGTATTTATTATAAATGTATATATGTATGGGTATATTTATTTACCCAAAACCTGGGTTGTACTCCTTTGTAATTGGATTTTTCCACTTGAAATTATATCTAGGTGACTTACACAATGTTATATGTCAGTTATATCTCAATAAAGCTGGAAAATTATATCGGAGAGCATGATAAACCATAGTCAAATGGCAACACTTGGAGAAGTTGGTGAAAGGTATATAGGAGTTCTTGGTACTGATTTTTAGACTTACCTGTTGAGTTTGAAGCTATTTCAAAATAAAGAAAATAATCATATATACAGGACCTCTCTCTACATTCTCTTCTCTAACTGCATAGTATTTTTTTGCAGATTGTACTGTATTTTATTGAACCGGTACTCTATTGACGGACATTTGTTTTTGCTTTTCTGTTTCCTATATTACAAACAATTTTCAAAGTTAATATTAACATATCTCTGCCCACCGATGTGACTTTATAATAAGTCCTAAAAGTTGAATTACTGGATCAAAGAGGGCTGTGTGGTTTTTATTTTTATAATTATTATCAAAATGCCCTATGTAGATAGTACTATAATTTTACACTCTCACTAACACTAGGCACAGAGGAACTTATGCTTTAGTTGGGCACACGATCAAAACTAACACACATGCAATAACTAACGAATCGTCTATGAATGACAGATAGTGTGAATTATAAAGAAACAACCAGAGAAGGGCGAGAGAAAGTGAAGCCAAGGAGTTCTTTGCTATATAAAGATTTAAAACTTTAACTAGACCTTTAAAAGCAAGACAGGTTTTTTTTTTTGTTTGACTTTCAAGTGGGGAATAGTATCACCACACAGAGAGAGAGAAACAGCTTGAATATCGGACACCACAAAGGCCAACTTATAGAAAACTAAGATGGCTGGTGATGAAAATTTGACACGTACCACAGAAATGCAGAACAAGGCAGGGAGGGTAGCTTTCTGATTGCGTGTCCGTATATTGTTAAACAATACTTTTAAACATCTATTTCTCATCATGCGAGCCCCCGAAAGGAAACTATAAACCCCTCACCATAAGGAGCAGGAAAGTAGAACTGGGTTGGCCGGGGGTTTATTTTCCTCGTGAATAGTACAGATTTTAAGTGAATTATCCTGTCATCGTTACTCTGGCCACCAGGAAGCTCAGCACCGAGTTTGTGGCCCGATATTGGTATCCATCAAGGATTGTTTTTAATATCGCTGTTGCTTTATTTTAAAGTGGTCAGCTCCTTTGTGGATTAAATTAACTATGTAAATATATAAAATCAGTAACGTTGGGGCAAACTGTGAAGAACCCTGCAGTTCCAGGGGCAGGTATTAGATTTAGGTGAGAAATTGAGAGCCCAAGCTATGATTTCAAATAGAGAAAAAAACATGAGCAGTGTGTTTCTAGTTGATTTAACAGCATTTCATATTCTAAGTTTCACTTATGAACTTTTCTATCTTCTAAAAAGATATAAAGTCACATTTTATTTATGTGGCCTTCCATTCATCACCGTGCATGAAGCACCTAATAGAGGAATAAATATAACAAAGGCTTCTAATATCTATGTTAGAGTCTTCACATTTTCATCCATTTTAGATTCGCCAGAAAAATCTTCCATCCTTAATTACTGTTTACCCCTAGTTTAAGAATTTCTATTGACTTTCTGAATTAAACATTTCATCAAGTCATAACTCAACCTAGAAGTCACAGTTCTGCCCGGCCGAGTGTGGCTCAGCGGTTGAGCATCGACCTAGGATCCAGGCGATCGGGGTTCAATTCCCGGTCAGGGCACATGCCCGGGTTGCGGGCTCGATCCCCAGTCGGGGGCGTGCAGGAGGCAGCCGATCAGTGACTCTCTCATCACTGATATCTCTCCCTCTCTCTCTCTCTCCCCCCCTCCCTCCCTTCCTCTCTCTGAAATCAATAAAGATATATTTTTAAAAAAAAGAATTCAGAGTTCCTCACCGGTTTGTTGACTCTAACTCCTTCTATGTCACGGTGTTATTCCCCTTCATGTCCTCAGTATGCAACGAGTCTGTCTCTGTCACAAGGCCCTGACTTGCTGTTCCTTCCCCTGTGTCTTTGCAAATGATGACGCCCTTTCCTTGGCGAGACTGCCCATCCGTTCTGGGAATCCATGTTCCTCCTAGTAAACATGAACCCCCATTAACCTTTCCCCAGCTTCCTCCCCATCCTTGGACATCCACCCCAACACTTGCAGTCAGTTCGTGCGTGCACAGAATTGTAATTGTCTTTCTACTGGTCTGCCACCAAGGCCTTCAGTTGTTTCACAAGGCTTGTTTTGTCTCCCAACTAGGCAGTAACCTTATCGCGCATAAGAATTATACATAAAGTTTTATATATTCTCACAGCTCCCACAAATGCCAAATCCAATATATTTTTTCATGTTTTTAGAGCAACAAAGGAAGTCTATCGGAAGAACGTAAGAATCCTGAATGAAAACCTGGAAAGAGAAACTCAGAGATGGTAAAGAAAACAAGTTTCCTTTGTGTTATAAATAGTGTATGTTATATGTTATCTGAATGAACAGTGCCCTCAAAGTGGGGAGGAAATCAGAGTACAAGTTAAATTGTGTGAGTTCTCTCAGATCTAGATGTGTTTTACATATGTGTGTGTGTGCATATGTATGTGTGTGTGTGCATATGTATGTGTCTGTATAATTTTGCATTGAACAGAATCAAAGTTTTCCATTTCAATGGAGTGAAGTCACAAAAGAGTAAAAGTAAAATTGCCAAGATTTGTGTAATGCCTCTTGTACATCCAGCCTCCGTGTGAACAGCAGGGGAGGTGATGCACAGGGACAGAAGACAGTGGTTGGGGTACAAGCTCAGCAGATGGGCGACTTCGATTGCTCTGCCTCTAACTAGGCCGTGACCGCTGCTCAGTTATTTAATAATCCCTCTGCTCCCATCCCATAAAGTGGGGAATGAAAGTAGCTCCGCCTTGTCATAGTAAATGAGATGATCCATGTAAAGTATTTAGATAAGCACCTGGCACCTAGGAAGCACTTGGGAAAACTTAGCTCTCTTTTATTATTGTTGTTGTTTGTCACTGGTATTAATATGATTTATTGCACATTTTCACCCCCAATTATGTAGCTTTTTTATGTTGTGGTAGAGAGAAAAATTTGAGAACCTAGAAGCTTGAAATCTCTTATTAGCACTTTGGGTCATTTAGGTAATTCCATCACTCTTCTGCCTGGGTCCCTCTGTTTTCCACCTGCCCCTCAACCTGTCCCAGCTTTGTCCTTCCCCGAGAGGAGGCGAGCGGCCTAGCGTGGTTTGTCTGCTGCCCTATTGGATGGGCCCTCACAGCTTCTTACTGTGAAGCAACGTGCAGATCTGGGATTGAGGCAGTCAGTGTTTTGTCTTATTTTTCCTCTAATGTGCAGTCTGCACCACCAGTAGCACAAACAATTTTGTGTAATCGTAGAACCTTTTTTGTCTGGCATTCGTTCACCTTTTCAGTAGACTGTTACGTCAATTTAATGATGATGCTTTCTGTTCTAATCTCTAGTATTATAACTCAGTGGAAAATAGCTTGTTTGCTAAAGAAACGTACACGTTGGCTGGGCGGGATAAGAAGCAACTTACAAGAAGTTATGGATAAAATTGAGGCTGTAGAATCTAGACGCCAGCAGTTACTAGACGAGGTAAGGGAACTCAACAGACTTAGTGCCGGCCCCCTGTAGTGCATATCAGTAATTCTCCTTCGAGATTCAATTTAATGAAAAGATGTTTTCCTTTCTGCTGACTTTGTGTGTAGGGTGAGTTGTGTAACTTTCCTAAGAAACATATCCATTTGCTGTGTATTAACTAAAAGAGTTTAGCAAATGAAATAGCAGTCCTCTCCAGGATACGCTTTTGAAGCCTGTGATCAGAAGTGTGATCATTTTTCAGGAATTTATCTCTAAAAATAAAACAACAAAACACCATTTATTTAGCTTCCATATTTCACCCTCTGCCCACCTTCCATCGTGTCACTTATATTGTTGGGTGAAGAAATTAATCTCTGAAGGGGAAAAAAAACCTTCTAACTGGTTGCTGAGAAATAATAACCTGAAATCGGAGCCAAATCTTATGGAAAGAGATATTAATCTACCTGGCTGTTGGAAAAGACAAAGATGACTGCTGTAAGACAGATGACAAATTCTCTCTTTTTTTCTAATTAGACCAGTTTTAGGAAAAAAGAGATCGTTGACTATTTGGCACAAATTGACGAAGTTACATTAGAATTAAAACATGTGGAGACGAACTTTATCGTTAAGGAAAAACTGTTAATTGAAGACTTGACCAAGTATGAGGTAAGTTTTATTTTACATCTAAGAATAATTGTAGATGGCTATATGCAGGGGAGAAGGGTATATTTCATGCTCCTCTAATTAATTCAATGTAAAATAAATCTTTTAGTATGAACAAGGTTAAAATTTCTTTCTGAATCTTTCTTCTTGTCCTAAAAAGGAAATAGAGCAACAAGAAATATTTTTGTGCTGACTTGGGAACCGCCAAGAGCTGCCCTGGGAGAGACTAGAACTCGGATGCTGGGGGAGGTGAAGGAAAGGGGACAGAAATTACCCAGGGGGCCCAGAGGTGGCAGGTGTCCAGAAACAACACAAAATACACCTTTTCAAGGCCATGGCATGACCTTGAAAGCAAGGGTGTGTTTCATGGAGACCCCATTGGTAGAGAAGCCGAGGAGAGGAGAGATGGTCTGGTAGAAGCCTTCCTGACTCGCTTTGGTTGAAAGGGGGAAAGAGGCACTGGCTACACCAAACAGGGTTTTTCTTTGAAGGCAGCAGGCCCTTGCTGTAGCAAAGGGGTAGGGAGCCTTTACATTTCAAAACTTAGATCTTACTTGGTCCAAGCCCGCTCCTCCTCCCCGCACGTACGCACTCCCCGCCGCCCCTTCCAGAACCCTCTGCAGACAACAGATCCAAGGAGAGCCACTTGTCTCTGCTGCGAATGACAGCAAAGCAGCAGACCCGCCTTCCACACAACAACACGCAGGCAAAACAAATGAAAGGCGGAGCAGAAGGTTCCAGCAAATGAAGAACACTCCGGAAAATGCCCCCGGAACAGATGAAAACTGGGCTCAAACATTCTTTTGTGAATTAAAGAATAAGACCTCAGGGAGGCGCCCAGGAAGATCAGCGCTGCGGGGTGTATGCGGGCAGCGAAGCGCCCTCAGAGGGAGGGCGGGATGGCGAGAGGTGATGGCACGAGGCAGGGGACAAACAGGGAAAGAGATCGCACGACAAAACGGTGCAAAACTAGAGGAAACAGAAGGGAGAGCAGTGGTGGGAAGCGTTTCTCTGTGGGTGGAACCACATCTGGGTGCCGGGTATTCTAGATGCTCAACAACAGCAAAGCAGAAGGAAAATAGAAACTAAGAAAACAGCAGAGCTTGGCCTTTATGGCGCTTACAGCCCAGTGGGGGGAGACTGAAAAGAAACAAGATGAACGGGGAGAACAGGTCATGTATCTGATGGTGCAAAAGGCTGTAGAGGAAAGGAAAGCCGGGCTGTGGGCGGAGCGGGTGCGTGGGAGTGCGGGATGTGTTGCGCGTTGCTTTCTGAGTAGGACCGTCTTAGAGGGCTCCAGGCCCGCAGGGGACACGGGAGCGTGCGGTGCAGAGGCCTGCAGACCGGGTCTGGGCGGAGGGCCCCTTGAGCATGAAGGCCCCGAGGCAGGGCTGTCCCATCTGAGGAGTAGCGAGGGGGCAGGGGGCTGGAGCGGAATGGGGGAGAGTGCAGATGACGGGAATGAATCAGTGCACTCAGTACCTCTTTACCGCCCCCTCCCGCCCCAGGCGGCTCTTTTGTAGAGAACATAATATAGGTAACACCCCATTGAGGTTTTTAACACTGCAGTCTGGAGAAAGTTTCTCCTGATTCTGCACTGTGATATTTTTAAATTATGGTGTTTTGTGTATGTTTTTATTTCTAAGTTTATTTATAAGGATTTTAATGGCAATTTGGAAGGGGGCATATCAGGCCAGTGTATCACTGTGTTAATTAGGGTGTGAACAAGTTGCTGTATCAAAGAGATGCCAAAACACAGTGGACATAAACACGATGTGTTGCAAGCCTCTCTCCTTTATTGTGAAATTGACCTTGGCTGAACTTGGTTTCTTGCCCTAGTGGCCTGATACAGATGCACTGTCGGTTGTATGATCAGGTAGCATAGCTTGTGTAGCTGCATCTTGACTGGGGGACGAACTGGCGGGAAACCATGGCATTGGCCTTTCCTGGGTTTGGTGCCTCTTTTAAGTGGGCATGTCCCTTGTGGGGACATAGAAGGTGTGCCCAAGAGATGTTAGGTCCTATCCGGACGTGGGGCTATCGCACCCACTTGTGTGGGTCTCTTTCTCTCACATCTGAGTTATTATTTTGGTGGGGTCAAAAGGCACTGGCCTCTGGTGGGCTGTGTTCTAGGGCACCTCCTGCTGGGGGAGTGTGCCTCTGGCTGCCCTGCTGGCACTCGTGGTTTTCTTCAAATTATGTGCAAATACAACTTGGATAAAAATAAAAGTGAAAGTTTTTAAGAGTAAACTGGGTCAAGTGTGGCCTATTCAAATCTTAAGAGCCTTTGTATCCAGTTGAGAAGACCCGCTGGGGTGGTCATTACCACAAGGGAGACATGTACCTCTCTTTCTCGGTCTGAGCCAAAGGAGAGCAGCCCAGGGCCGGGAGGGCAGCTCTGCCACGCTCGGCATGAGGCTAATGCTGTGGGCCCAGGTGGGAGCTCCCATTCTCATTCTCTGGGGGCAGCCAGGGGAAGGAGCAAAGGGCCAAAGGGGCGCATACCCCTCCTTGTTACAGGGACAAGACCCAGAAGTGGCACAAACCAATCCTGCTCACAAACTTGTTGGCCACACCCACCTGCAAGGGAAGCGGAGAAATCACTTGAGCCAGAGCCATATGCTCCTCTGAGACTCCAGAGCCGTGCTAGCCAAGGACAGGAGAATGGATAGCGAATGTGGCTGGCTGTCTCCACCTTCGTCGCCGTTTTAAACCCAGCCTGACTTTCTAAAAAAGGTTCAACTATTACTCCATTTGAAGCTAACCAGGACCTGAGTTTGAATAATTAAGCAGGCTTCATAAACTCGTGTTTGCTTTGGGCGCTTTGCACCCGTTTGTTGTAGTAGTACTATTCGCCCAGTTATTGCTACCCTATTCCCATTTCTTACTTGCATGCACATTTCTTAGAAATTGTGTATATTCTGTCTTGCTGCCTGGTTGTTGTTTTTTGTTTGTTTTCATAAAATATGATCAACCAAGACAAATCCCTCAAACGATCTGGGGGTAGACACAAGGTAGCATTAGCAGAATGGTAGCAATAGAGCTATAAAACCGAAAGGATGTTTGGAAAGCCATTGAATCTCATCTCCTTAGTTTATAGATTGCCAGAGAGTCGGCAAGCCAGCCAGCAAATATTGTAAAAATATCTAGTATGTGCCATATACCTTGCTATGCACCTCAGGATAGGAGAGTACCGAGAGAGGGCTGTCTCCCTCAAAGAAATTATATCCTACTCCACAGTGTGATGTCAGTTCTCCAAAATCATGCCTCACAGTCAGCTTTACTTTCTTTAAAGGAAAAATTTGTTAAGGAAGTGGAAAGTACCAAAATAAAAGAAGATGAACTAGTCAAGTGCCTCCCCCTCCTTCAGGTGGCAGAAGAAGCCTGTAAGAGCAAACACAGAGAGCTTGAGGAGCTCAACAGTATTCTCACAGGTACATACGAAGCACTTAGTGACTGGCCTCAAGCCCAGCTAAGGATTTCACTGCTGTTTTCTCACCCAGGCGGGTCACCGGTCAAAGCAAGGGTGAAACCCTCCAGCTTCCCCCACCGCCTTTAGCTCTCTGTTTTCTAGGGTTTCGCTCTCTTATCTACGCATTTCCTCTCCTTTGCATCACAAAACCTTACTATTGCTGCTGCCAACTTTTTCTTCTCTAAAGATTGTTTAAAATTAAGAATTAGTAACAAGTATGTTATGTGCTTTCTCTCTGTACTTGGTAAAGGCAGAATCAACTTCTTGATCTACTACCATGTAGAGATTTCTTTCTCTTTCTTAACGTGAGTTAAGCTCTGACTTTAGCTTTAGGAGTCAGACACGGGGTGGAGGCAGCACTGGGGAGCACCTGACTGCTGGGTTTTGTTATAAACCATAGTATTTGACTTTTAAAACCAGGTTGGTGTTTATTTTGATGAATGTTTTTTCAAGCCAGAGAACATTATATTTTCTCTTTTTTATAGCACAAAAGCAGGAACAGAATTTACTGAACGATTATATTTCTCAAATGACAAGAGACTTTTCAAGATACTTGAACAACATGGTAAAGAGTCCACACGTTCATTCTTCTTTCTTTTGCTAGAATGCTGGTTTATGCGCACAGTAATACTTACCTGGCACCGTTGGCGTCTCTGGGAACTCCACATTGATTAAACTGACCCTTTACAAAAACACACACACACACACACACACACACATATATTGATTTCAGAGAGAGGAAGGGAGAGGGAGAGAGAGAAACATCAATGATGAGTCATTGATCGGCTGCTTCCTTCGGGCCCCCGGTTGGGGATGGAGTCCAAAACCCGGGCGTGTGCCCTGACCGGGAGTCAAACCGCCATCTCCTGGGTCCGAGGTCAATGCTCAACCGCTGAGCCATGCCCAGCCCAGGCTAAACTTACCCTTTTAATACTAATGTTTTGAAGTTTTAGTCACAACATACATAGATATGTATATGTGTGTGTATAAGTGTCTGTATGTATATGTAAACAGAGGGAGACAGGGACTCTAGAAGCAACTAGCATGTCACCATAGGAAAACCATCGGGCAGTCTGTTTCCTTATTTATAAGGTAGAGACTGGATTATGCTTTCCAAGGTTCCTTTCTGATCTGTTACTCTGGTAAATTCCCATGAAGGAAAGGGTAAGTGGTCAGAGGTTGCAGGGTAGGGAGGGAGTGGATGAAATGGGAACAGGTAAAGAGATGTTTACTATCTTTTAAAACAATTTATAATCAATAGCTAATGGTAAACATGTATGTGGAGTTGCTTCATTAATAATGGAAACATTCCATTTTTTGAGATGCACTGATTCAAAAAGTAATTTTCAACATGTTATGGGTATAGAGAAATATAAAGGGGAAATTATAAGTGAGAATACCACATATACAATTCTATTTTGTTAATAAGATGCTGCTACAATGATTATGAAATGCATAAAGATTATGTGACTTATAATAGTATAGTAACTATAGAGATTCAGTTGGGAAAACAGTAGGAAAATTCTGAAAAATCCATAAAGTAATATTATTTTCCTTCAAGAAATATGAAATCATCCCTGAAAATCCTCGACAAGTTTCACTCTCCTTTTCCCCACTTTTGCCAGACAGTTGCTCATATGTCAACATATATTGTATTTTATGAAATTGTCTCAACAACTTACCTTGGGTCCACGGACCTGCTTCCCAGAGTCCATGAAGAAACTTCCATGAATCAGCTTTTGAATTTAATATAAAGTTTTCTAAAGACAGGTGTCCATAGCCTCTGCCAGTGGTTCAGGGATTAATTAGGGCTCCTCTCTGAACGGGGTCCAGGCAGTCTAATCCATGGGTGTCCTGCTCATTGAATACTCTGGGATAACTGTGGGCTTTATGTCTGAGCAGGATAAATTGAAGCAAGAATTACAACAATTACAAGATCAAGAAAGCGATAAAACCAAAAGTCATTTTGAAATTCTAAAGAACTTGGAAAATGAAATCTACACACATGACCTAATAGCAGAAGCCATACTCCTGGAAAACAGACGGTTAAAAGAGGTTAGTTCAAAAGCACTTCAGTTTGCACAGCGGTTTTGGTGCATCGCCTAGACCTGTAATAGTTATGAGAGAATAGCTCTTAAAAGTTTTTAAATGAAGCTTAAAGTACGTACAGAAAAGTGCCCAAATCGTAAGTGTAGAGCTCAGTGAACACACCTGGGTGACCAGCACCCAGATGGAGAAACAAAGCATTACTGGGACCCAGATATCCTCTACGTCCCTTCCCGTCACTGGCCTCCTCACGAGGGCACCGCCGTGCTGACTTCTGACACTTTGAGCTGGTTTTGCCTGTTTTCGAACATCCTCCGTATGGAATTTCTATTTTCTGAATAAGATGCTGCTGCGCGCTCCTGCTCAGCGCTGTGCTTGCGAGGCCGCCCCTGCAGCTGAGCGCAGCGAGGCCTCGTGCTCCCTGGGTCTGCGGAGGGTGCCACTGTGTCGCCCTGCTGCAGCTCACTCGCCCACTCTCCTGTCGATGGGGGTGCAGAGAGCTTCTCCTGCGGGCTCTCACAAATAGTGTTGCTGTGGACATTCTCGGACATGTCTTTTGGTGCACACGTGTACATATTTCTGTTGGGTGTACACTCAGGTGGGATCATGGAGCCATAGGGATGCATAATTGATTACTTCAGTGCCCAGCGCCAGTCTCCCAAAGAGGTAGCAATAATTGCCACTCCGGCAGTGATGTGTGAGAACGCCGGCTGTTTCACATTCTCACGGAAACTTGGTCTTTTTCAATCTAACCGTTCAGGAGGACGTGCAGTGGTGCCCCATTGTGGTTTTTATTTGCGTTTTCCTGATGATCAATGAAGCACCTATTCTAAATGTTGTGGGCCATGCATTTACCTTCTTTGCAAAGTGCTTGTTCTTTTGCCTGTTTTAAAAGTTAGGTTGTCTGTTTTGTACTGACTGTGTCTCTTTTCCCCAGTAAACCAGAATGACCTCTAGGTCAGGAACTGTATCAGGGTAGCCCAAGTGTTTGCACAATTCCTCACCTGTAAGAAGGATTCGGTCCCCTTTGGTGATCACAGTAACCTAATAATGTGGATAATATATTCTTCCCTTTTTACAGATGAGGAAACTGAGGCTCTACATTTTTTATTAGTTGGGAAGATAAAAGCAGTCCTACAGCAATAAGACTCTAAGGAAGAGAAGAATTCCTTTACCTCTCTGGGTAATTGCTGTCATTAGTTCAATGGCAGCAGTTTTCCCAATAGCATGAGCAGAATTAAAATGGCATGAAAGGTACTCAGGTACTTTGAGAGGGGAGGTGTGCTCTACAGAGCCCAGGTACCACATCAGTAACCTGCATGGAGCACATCTTTCTTCCTCTAGTCCTTGAACCAAACTCATAAGGAACTCTATCCACTCACAGAAATATTTCACTCTGTTGTCTTCCTAGCAAGATGATATATGTTATTTATTAAAATAATTGAAATTTTGTTGCTATTTTGGTAACGAGTGAGCAAGTGAATGGCTGTATGAAAGGCTGATTCCAAAAGTTCTGCTTTTGGATTCGGCGCCAAAGCTCCTGACCCCCTGGATGACCTGTGCTTTTCCCTTACGCACTTGACACTCTGTTTTGCTGATTATATCCCTTCACCCAACACCTCCCCCCCAAGCACCCACTGAGTCCTGAACCCTGCCTGGGGAAGGTGCAGTGACTACAGAGACAAATCAGACACTGCCCCAGGCCCTTAGGAAGCCCACCATCCGGCTGAGGAGATGGGCATAGAAACGAGTAATTACAATTCAGTGTGGTAACACATTTGAGAGCTATGGGAGGCCAACTGAACTAAGCAAGTCCACAAACAGTGATCCACGTTCAAGGAGAGGCAGGATTGATGACTTGGACTTGAATTTGGTTTATTTACTATAATATCTGCCAGCAAGCCATGCAAAGGCTGACACAAGGTCAAGGCTGCATGAGGAGACCCTGTACCATGTGCTTAAAAACAGCTCTATGCCCTCTCCTTCTATGGTGGACACTGCTTCTTAGATTTTTATCAGTAATTTCTAGTATCTACTATTTTTCTCCTGAAACTGGACCAGTGCCAAGTCTATATCCCCAAGCCCATCCTTTCTGAGTTCCCAGAGACTTTAGAGCTCCTGAGTATTGGGTGGTCAGAACAGAAAGCCACGACTTTAGTACCAAGCCACCACTGCCACCATCACCAACCCAATGAGACACTTGACCCGAGTGAGCAATTCTGTGGGGCCTTCTGACTCAGTAAACCTTCTCTCCGGGGTCTTATGGGGAACCCCTCTAGTCAGGCAGCATTGCTGCCCTGTGACATCCACTGCACACACATTTTGCATAAGGGACATTGTGTATGTGTGTGATGCATTTAGACAATACCTTTTAATTTCTTTTTATGTAAAATTATATTCAGATGCTGTGTTTATTTGGGTGCTGAAACGCTTGCTAGAAAGTAGGATCCTTTATCTCCCTCACAAGAATGTGAGCTTGACAAGGGCTCTGTTCACCACTGTTACCCTTGAACCTGGAACAGTTGGTAGCCCAGGGAGGAATCAATAAACGTTTGCTGAATGACTGCACAAATAACTAACCTAGAGTAACGAGACTGCCTAAAGCAGTGACATGCCTTTAATTTCCAGTATATTGTGTACATAAAGAGCAGGACAGAAGAATACACACAGGGAGGAGAAGCCATGGTGCACATCTCCAGTGACCTGTCTTGGCAGCTGGTGGCTCATTGCGGTAAGTAATGTGTCATGGGTGATCTTTACATATAAAATACAAAGTTTTTCTTTTGTTTAAATAAATTTTAAGTCAGATTTTACTGATTTGCATATGCAATAAATGCACCCGTCTTAAGTTCAGTGAGTTTCGATAAATGTGCATTCCACTGTAACCACTACCACCACAAACCAAATATAGAACATTTTCCTCCCTGGAAAATCTCCCTTATGTCTCTTTGTAGTAGCGTCCCACTCCACCTCCAGTTCTTGGAAACCATTGATCTTCTCTCTGTCACTAGGATTGGATATAAATGAAATGATGGAACATGCACACTTTTGTACCTGGCTTCTTCCACTCAGCAAACTGTTATAAAGATCCATCCATGCTGTTGCACGTATCATTGGCTTGCTCCTTTTGTAGCTGTACAGTATTGTATTACATGGATATAACATATTTTTAAATTTCCAACTGAAGGACATTTGAATTATTTCCAGTTTGGGATTACTATTTATTTACAAGTGTTTTTTATTATTATTTTTTAATCCTCACCTAAGGATATGTTTTTTATTGATTTTTAAAGAGAGAGGAAAGAAGAGAGAGAGAAACATCGATGTGAGAGAGGAACGTCAATCAGTTGCCTCTCGTATATGCCCTGACCAGGGATCGAACCTGCATCCTCTTGGTGTGTGGGACATTGCTCCAACCAACTGAGCCACCCAGCCAGGGCTATTTGCAAGTGTTTCTGAAAAGATTTGTTTTCATTTCTTTTGGGGTAAATACTGAGGAGTGGAATTGCTGGGTTATATGGTTAGTGTATGTTTAACTTTATAAGAAACTGCCAAACAGTTTGCCAAAGTGGTTCTACAAATTTTTCATCCCATTAGCTGCAGGATACTCCACATCCTCACCTACACTTAACGCTTGAAATTCTTAATATTTTAGCCATTTTAATAGCTACATAATCGTATTGCATTGTGGTTTTAATTTGCGTTTTCCTGATGACTCTGATCAAGTATCTTTTCATGTGCTTTGTGGCTACATGTATATCATCTTTTGTGAAGCATCTTGAACCAATGATCTGTTGTAGCATAACAAATATTGCAAATCATTATTTTCTTTGCTCACAAATTGCCGGTTTGGTCAGAGCTTGGTGGAGGCAACTCAGGTCTGCTCCCTGTGACCTCAGCTGGGACAGCTTGATATCCAGGGGTAATTCATCAGGTGGGGACTGGCATCATCTGAAGACCCGCTCACTCGCATGCGTGGCGTTGTCCAGTTTGCTGCTTGTTTCAGTGGGAGGGCAAGTCCAATCTAGTTCTGTCATTTTGGGAGTAGACATTTTTACATAAAACAGTTTTTGAGACACAAACAAATAACATTACTTTTATAAAATTGTCCAAATTGTTTCAGTAACCTGTGCATTTTGAAAATTTTTATTTTAGCACGCTATTTGGATTTGTGGGCAGAATTTCAGGTCACCATGAAGGTGAGTTTTTTGTATTTCCTCCATAAGTATCGTATTTCTAAGAGTACTTACCTGACAACCGCGTCCGGTTGCGTGTGTGCGTGTCACAGAACTAGTGTGACCGTCACATCCTAAAATGTGTCCTTTATGCCAAATGTCACTATGAAACCCTAATCCTTCGGGAAACTGTCTTCCCGCTCTACCACTTCAGTTAAAGTGGGAATGCCATTTTTTTACAAGCTCAGTTTGAACACCCTGTTTTAGGACAAGCACACAGCGCTGATCTCCGCGTGTTACCAGCCTTGCAGTGTCCCCTGTCCCTTCAGAGGCAGGCAAGCTCGAGTTTAACTCCTGCCGCTGCCGCTTCCTAAGTATTTAGGGTTTAACATGATCCCTGTTTAGCCTTTAAAACACTGGGTAAGGAAAGCGTTAGTAACGACTTTTTCAGATGAAGCTGCTGAGACTCAGAGAGTTTAAGGAACTTGTCCAAGACCACTTAATGCACTGACTCGGAATTAAAACTCAGACCCGGCCTGATTCCAAAGTCCTTTCTCGTAAACTTCAAGCCTCGCCGAGTCTCCTCTGCAACCCTGTGCTGCAGGAGGTGCGGTGGCTTTCCACGGGGCCGCCACCACCGCCCTATCCAGCTGAACACGAGTTCACGCCTAGATGCAGACGACAGGCTCGTGCTTGGAGTGCTGGAGGCGGGAGGTCCAATGGATGGAGGAGTCAAACGGTGCAGACTTTGTTATAAAACCAGTCATGGGGATGTAATGTACAACATGGCGACTACTTAATACTACTGCATTGTGTGTATTTGAAAGTTATTAAAAGAGTAGCCCTTGAAAGTTCTCATCACAAGAAAAAAATTCTGTAACTATGTGTGGTGATTACGTTAACTAGATTTATTGTAATCATTTCACCACATAATACAAATATCGAATTATGATGTTGTACACCTGAAACCAATGTAATGTTATAGGTCAATTATAGCTCAATAAAAAAATTAACCATTGAAAACATTTTTGAGTTCAGTCATCAATGCATTAAATCTCATTTACTAATCCATTTTCCTGAGATCTTTCATAGAGCTCTGGGAATTTGCTGTGTATACACACTCATTTTGCATGACTAATACCAATTTTGCATATCTATTTTTGGGATATGATTCACTGGACAGAATATGTTTTTTATTTTATTGCAATTTATACTCACACACTCAAAAATGCTACTGGTTTTTTTTAGGAATTTGTAAACGGTAGTGAAGAGACATTGCAAGAAATAAAAAATCTAGTACAAAAGCTGAATGAAAGAGATGAGAAAATTGAGCGTATCAGTATTTGGTTACAAGGGAATCTTGCAGAATTGCGTTTTCTATCCAAAATGGACGTTCTTGGTAAGTAGAATCTCAAGAGCTTTGGGTAACAAACAACTTCCTGCTTTTTACTGTAGCTGGTGACATCAAAAAAGCCCTCCCAATAAGAGTGCCCACTAAATAACTTGGTATCCCCAGTAGCCCACCCCTAACCATGTCACAGACATTCAGCTGAACACTGATTATCACTTGTGGAGTCGAGCGCCGTAGTGCTGCAGTGTCGGACAAATCTCCCTTCTTCCTAAGTGAGTTTCCGAAATAACTGAATCTCAACTTCTTTCTGATTTTTTAAATTCTTATTTTAAACACTTTCCAATGCCCTCTGGAGCTTCTGAGATGTGGAAACATTCTATGTAGCAGGGTTGATTGCCTCATGAGTGAGCAGCCCAGTCTCTCCCGAGGAATATCAGCTTCATCCTTAATTCCTACTCTAATGTCTGGCTAGAGCCCTGTCCAGGTTCGGGCTGCAGTGAGAAGTGGAGGGGAGCCCTTGCACAGGTACAGCCCAGAGGTCCCGGGGGTCAGGAGGGAGCCCCTTGATAAGGTGGGAGGGTGGAGGTAGAGAAGGCTGCGGAGAAGGCAGGAGGACAGAGTGCAGGGGAGAAATGAAAATATGTCACTCAGGAAGTGTATGGCTTTATTAGAGGCTATTAAGGTTTAATTCTGAAGAGCATCATCACTAGATAAGTAGTTATAAAGGTGGGTTGTATAAAGTAAAATGGAATAGAATAAAAGTAAAATGAGAAAAAGCAATAGAATTAAAAAAACATTTCAATAGTTGGTAAAAATCAACCTTCTGAGGGTATCACTGACAGAAGAAATAATGTTTTTGCAGCTGATGAAACATTTTGTGGGTAAGCCCCTTTTTATCACCCAAAAAGCTGTTTGGGTATGTAACAAATGAAAAGGAAAGAAAAGAAATCATGCAAAGTATATTCTCAGATTACAGTGGAATTAAACCAGAATCGAACAACAGAAAGACAGCTGGCAAATCCCCAGATGTTTGGAAATTAAGCAACACAGTCCTAAATAAGTCATGGGTCAAAGATGACATCTTAAGAGATAAAGTATTTTGAACTAAATGAAAATGAAAACACAATTTATCAAAGTTCGTGGGATGCAATGAAAGCAGTGCTTAGAGTGAAATTTATAGCATTAAAATGCATATATTAGAAGAGAATTAATGTAAAAATAATCTAAACTCCCACCTTAGGAAACTAGGGAAAGAACCACAAGGCTAAAGCAAGCAGGGAAAAACGATTTAGAGCAGAAGTCACTGGAATTCATTAAACCCATTGAAACTGAAAACAAGGAATCTAAAGGGAAAATGAGTGAAGCCATTTGAATGAAAAGCCGGACTTTAGTTAATACTATTGTATCGCTACTGGTTCACTAGTAGCGATAAATGGCCATACTACTTAGTGTAAGAAGTTAACAAGGGGAAACTGAGTGTAGAGCATGTGGGCCTCCCTGAATTCTTTACACTATTGGTGCAATTTTTCTGTAAATCCAAAACTGTTATAAAAATAAAGATTATTATAAAAAATTTAAAACAAAAGCTGTTTGGGTGTTCCCGGTGCCGGTGAGACTGCCTGGGTTTAAGCGCATAGTGGGCCCTGCTTGGCCTTGCTTCGCTTTGCGTTTTCTGGGCAAGGCAGGGCCGTCCCCAGCAGCTGGAGCTCAGGCGGAATTTTAAGAGCTAAATCGTCTCTCAGTGTCCATCGCACTATTTTCACATCACTGAATCTTCCGTTTCTTTGTCTGAAACCTGATGGAACTCTGTGTTGGAGATTTAAACAGACTCTATTGAAAAGCCACGCTCACTGACTAACTGATGGCAGAGTCCCTTTCCCGTGTATCTTGAGGACTGTCTTCTCGATAGGCTGGGGAAAACGGAGAATTGCAGTATGGAAATAAAGGAAATAAAGCAGAGGCACAGAGCGGGCCCGCAGGGCGGGCAGTCGCCCTCGCTTGCGTTGGGCGAAGGCTCAAAGGCAGGGGGACGCGGGAAGGGCTGCGGTGCAGAGGACCGGCTGCAGGTGCGCGCTGGCGGCTGGCGCCGGGGGCCGGCACCCGCTCACCTGAAGCAGGTGCCCGTGACCCAGCAGCGGCCCGTCCGCCTCCCCCTGGCCGGCCTGCGTCTGCGTTGCATCCGTGGTTCACTGTGAACTCTAGACTGCATTCGACCGTATCTACCGAGTGCCTGTTCTGCGCCACGCACTGTCTGTTCTGCGCCACGCACTGTCTTAGGCTGTGGGGCTACAGCAGTGAATGAGAGCAGGTCGAGTCCCCGCCCCAATGGAAATCGCGGCCCCCTACTAAGGTCGGCAGACTTTAAAGGGCCAATGTTTTCGGCGTTGCCAGCCATAAAAGTTTCCCTGTAGCAACTGCTCACCTCTGCCACGGTGGCGGAACTGCCCCTCGGGTGTAGTTTGTCCACCGCTGATACAGTGGGAGAATCAGGTATTGTACAAATGTATGTAAAATTTCAGTGTCACAGGTTTCAGGGGTGTAAGTACTTTAAGAGGGAGACTTGACCTAGTTAGGGAATCGGGAGAGGTCTCTGAAGAACTGGAAATGGAGCTGAAATCTCAAGGAAGATTTCTGCCCTCTTAGCCTCTTAGATTTCTGCCTACTTTTTTCTGCTCCTGGAGCACTGGCGTCACTAGGAAGAGAGCTTAGACAGTGGTTCTCAAATGTTAAAATCACCTGTAGGAGGTTTTATAAGTCTTTCTGTTCAGCCTACACCCCAGACCAATTCACTCTGAATCTCTGAGGGTGGGACCCAGGGATGTTTCTAGAAATCTCTCCAGCTGACTCCAATGTACAGTCAAGTCTTGCAAACCAATGGTTTTAGGTAAATATGTAACAATGTAACAGTTAAATTGACCAGTTGACCCAAATTAATCAAGAAATTATTTTGACTAAATTACCTATCCAGCACTGGTTAGCACAACAATTACTATAGCAGCGAGTGGTAATACACTGCAAGGACCTACGCCAAGACAGAGTTGAACTAGGATAAGGGTAGTTTCTGTGTATTTTTAATAACCACGTTTTAACAAGATATTTAATAACATTAGCAATTAGCAACCACAGTTGCTATGAACTGTTCTAGTCTTGTTCTTCAGAATGCAAATTAAAAATGCAGATGTGTATTAAGTATTCCTGAAAGTCTTTGCCCGTGAGGACTTGTGATCATAATTACTTGCATGGTTTCTCCTTTTTGCATCCACACTTTCCTGCTAAAACAGGACATTAGAGAAGATAACTTAAAATGGCTCCAAGTGTAGTAGTACAAGAACAGCCCTGCTCATCAGGTTCATGACCCCTCAGGCCTCTCCCTTTCCAGTTGTACAGCTGTCCAACTGAGAGATTCTTTAGGCAACTTAGACTTGTAATGGACACTAATAACCACCCAAACCTGTCTGAGATACATATGTTCATAATTTTGTTTTTATTCCTACAGAAAAGGACAACAAAGAAAGACCTACCAAAAAACCTAATTTCCCATTGGTTGCACATACTGTGAAAAAGCTATTAACATTGAAAAAAAAACCGAAGTAATTCCAAGGATACAACTGCTGTGAATTCAAAAGGCATAAACAAAACTACAGAAAAAGTGAGTGCACATTCTTTCACATTTTGCACCTGTCAACCAAAGTCTTAAAGTTCTAGATTTAACAAATTCGTGTTAACCCCCACCAATAGCAGACTCGGTAAATAACTTCCTAAACAACGCAGAAGAACAAACATGGTCTGATTAGCAGGCTAAGTGCTAAAAATCTTATTTTGCTTCCATGGTTGCAACTGTTTAAGTCTCTTTAAGTGTTCAGAGCATAAAAATGGACAAGCATACCCTATCAGCCAGCACCACGGGAAAATTGTTTCTAGCTATATATATTCTATATTTCGTTAAATCTAAGAAGTCGTCAATTGTAAGATGCAGTCTAATTCAGAGATTTCTTTCACAATGTGGAAGAAAATGTGTCTCAGGATCAAAAAAATGTGGTGTATGTATCCTTAAAAAATGAGATATAAGAGCCCTGGCCGGGTGGCTCAGTTGGTTGGAGTGTTCTCCCACACACCAAAAGGTTGTGGGCTTGATTCCCAGTCAGGGCACATACCTGGGTTGTGGGTTCGATCTCAGGTTGAGGTACTACTGATGATTCTCTCTTCCTTTAAAACTGTTTTTTTTTAATGAGATGTAAGAGGAAGGGAATATGTGAGTACATGTATTCACTTGGGAAAAAGACATTAATCTCACTACCTAATATTTTGAATTTCCACGATTAGTGTGGCAAATACAAATGTCAGAACATTTGAGACTTTTTGTCATTAAGCTTTTCACAATTTTTCTTTACAGAAACAGGAATAATCTGAAGATATCTTCAACCAAACTACCTGTAAACAAAGAACCTGTTATATAAATTATGCTCAATTTTTGTAATAGATCAAAATACTTTATTGGTGAAAATAAATAGGTAAGAAAAAAACAACATACTTTATTCCATGTTTGCTATCAGACCCCACAGGTATGTGTGTCTTTGTAACATTATACTTGAAAAACAAGTTGAAACACAACAGGCATGCACAATTGTGCCAAAGCTAGGATTTCAGGTTATACTTGTTAAAGTTTTTAATAAAAACAGAAACAACATAGTGCTAGGTACACAGAAACATGATTTTGCTCTAAAGAATAAACTGTTCCAAGAGGCAAGTGCTTCCTATAGGCTTCTCCTGTCATATAACAGTATGCTATAAGCATCTAGCGTATTATACTATATAACAGAGTATTACAGTATTTTGTATTTTTTAAGTCTAACCATAAAGTCTCAAATCAAAAACCAAACCATACAAAACGACCAAAAACATTAAGATATACTGATGGTCTTATTCCCTTGTATGACAGAGGAGTACTAATACATTTTTTTATTTCTTTACTTTTTTATTAAGAATACTTCTTAGTTTTTTTGTTTGTGTGTTTTTGGCATGTTATATTCAGTGCCCATTGGCTCCTTCTGAGAGTATCCGTGAAGGTTCAGTAAATTTTGCCGTGAATAAGTAAAAAAGGGCTGGTGTGGGCACCAAAGCCAAAAGGGGTAGATCTTGCGCGAGTTGATCCACCCTGGAGATGGAGACTATCCCGTAAGCATGAAGCAACCAGTGGCTCAGGAGAACGATCAGTCTCTTCTTTCTGACCAGAAGGTCATAGCAGTTCTGGATCATTGGATAAAAGAAAAAAAAGAGAAACATCATTGGACTGAATCAGCTAGTTCAGATCATTTATTCTATTTTAATTTAAATGTATTAATTACAAATCATAACCTCAGAATTCACAGACAGGCTGAGCTAAGAGGGACCTAGGAGAGCACCTACACCAGCCACTACACTGCACAGGTGAGGCTTCTTGCGGTCACGTGAGCAGCCAGAGGCAGCACAGGACGGGAGCCCCATCTAAGTTCTAGTTCACACCAGAGTCAATGCTGGAAACACTACGGTTTCTTCTGAAAGAATGGCCTAGAAGGAGAACCCCACATGACATGTCTTCCTCCCGCCCTGACCCACTGCAGCGGAGTCCACAGGTGAGAAACGGGAGGTGCACAAGGCAACTTCCTTAGCCTCGAGCGCTCCTGGAGTCTGCTGCCTGGATTGTCAGAAGGGAGCAGAGATGACGTGACTACTCTGATTTCCTTTTAACCTTCAATATCGTTCTATAATATGCAGAAGTTGGAAGGGCCAAATTATTATAAATGTGCTAACATACTGAAATGTAATTTGCAGTATTACATTACTTTCTCTTACTAAATGGCTCATCAACTCACCTAAAGCTAGACTGTCTTTTCCTGAGTCACATCTCTATTTCTGATTCAAGGAGAGAGTGCTAACTGAAGTATATGAACATCTTATATAGGAGAGATTCCCAGGGCAGAGGAACAAATAAGTTTCAAGCTAACATAACTACTATCCACAGTAGTTATGGGTAATAAAGAGAAATTCAAAAACTTCATTTTATTCAAATATTCAATCATTTCCCCCCCTCAAATATTTCTCTAGAGTTGAAAAAAGTACCCAAACTAACTTGCTTCTCTTCTTTAATTATACATACTGCAATGCTGACTCAAGATCAAAGGAGAGATGGGGATAGTATACAAATGGAAACATCTAAATAATCACCATCAAAATACTGTCTAGTTCCTCGGCTACGTTACTCTCCCTGGAAGTCATCCCCTCTCACTTTCTCACTAATGTAACAGGGAGAGACACCAAAATCAAATGTTCCAAAACAGTTAATAACTTATTTTCTTGGGGTCGAGCTTCTTCATGTTAAGAATTATGAGAAAGTACATCTCTTAACAAGTGTGGTGGGCAGCTGAAGACAGTGCACGGGCACTAGGTTAGCAAGCATGGGGTGGAAGAGTACTCAAGCACCTGACACTTGCTTCCTTACAGTTCAGCCTCAAAACAGAGTCCTAACAGTGACCTTCCACTGGAATACTGACAAGTTAGAGGCACAAATGGGTATCTCTAAACAGGAACAGTACCAGAACTGATGTTGCCGTTAATGTTATTTACAAATCACCAAAATATTATAGATATTAGAGGACAAAAGCATCCATAATCAAGAAAATAAAATAGGGGACAAAATATAGAAGGGTGGAGAATGTACAATATAATTACTGATGACAGTGTTGCCACTGTAAAATAAAGTGTAAAGTTAGTTCTATATACAATAAAGCATTTTTATGTCTCCCTCAAAAAGGTGTTAATAAGTTTCAACATTTCATTTTTTGTATGGGTAAATTATGTGATATGATTTTTTTCTTCAACATGATAGATAGTTGAGCCTAATTTCCCAAGCAAATAGAGTCCAGTACATAATGTTTCATACACATAGCCAGTGAGCTAAAAGCTACTTAGTGACATCCATCAGCCAAGAGTCACTAGAACAGTTAGCTGTGCTACGTCATATCATACGTACTCTTCTCCTACTCAACCATCAATCCCCCAAAAGTCTCTAACAGAGGAAAGCATTTTTCGTACCTCTATTTCAGAAGCCGACATGTACACAGCCAGAGTAACCAGAGATAACACTAATATAATGTATGGGAAGGCGTAATCTGAAAAACAAACACTGGCATTACATAAAAAAATTAAGCAAATTTTCTGAATAAACCATCAAAAAAATTGTAACCGTGTATATAATTCTCCCCATAACTGAAAACATTCTCAACCAGTCCTGTGAGAGATGAGCCTTAGTGCCCTAAGGTGGGGCTCAGCAAGGTTTCTCTGTAAAGGGCCAGAGAGTAAACACTTTTGGCTCTGCAGGCCACACAGTGTCTCAATCACCCAGCTCTGCAGTTGTGTACAGCATGGAGAGGCTGGACAGAGGGATGATTCACACCAGGGTTAGGACAGAGCTGGATGGAGCAGGATTTCATCCCATTACTCAGAACAGTGTGCAATTTAAAACTTATGACTTGTTTATTTCTGGGATTTTCCATTTAATATCTTTGGATCACTGTTGACTGCAGGTAACTGAAACCACAGACAGTGAAACCGCGGATAAGGGGAAACGACTGACTGTACTTCAAATATAGTACAGTAACACTACTATAAGCAAAATGTTTTTCTTACAAAAATACCGCCTTTCTCTTAAATGTTTTACATTTATAGCACATTAAAGAGACAGATTGAGAAAAAATACCTTAAATTATTTTTCATATAATTATTTTAAAACAACCTCCGTTTATGAAACCAATCATGCTGCATTGCAGTGAAACCTATTCGGAACAATTTCAACTGTTAATTCGGGAAGCAAAAGCCAGGATCTCGGAACTATCCATAAAGGCCTGATTCCAACTTACTATGTAACTGAATGGCTTGCTGGAGATTTAGAACCTTTTATTTCAAGACTGTGAGTAGGATCTCAATCAGCCATTCAAAAAAAAAAAAATCACATTTCATTTATAATTAGCTAAAAATGTTACTAATGATACAAATTTAAGACCTAGTAGTAAAAAGCCTGAGGAGGAAGAGGAAGTTTCTAAGAAGGCCCAAACCTCGAACCTGTGGGCATAGGTCCTAGGCTCACGGCAGGATTAGGCATGGTCTTATTCTAGGATCTAAAACAATTTGAGATTTTGATGCATTAGGTTTGGTGGTAGGGCTTGGAAATCTGCATTTTAGTTTCCCTGGTGATTCAGATGCAGATCCCACTTAAAAACTGGCTTCAATTAATACTTCCAAGCAGGTAAAAGTTCCTCACTGACATCTTCCTATAGCTCCCAGGGTCTCTCTCCCTAAAGCCTAGTATCTTTAACTACCAGAAGCCTCTTGCTGCTCTACTTTGCTCATATTTTTATATTACCTTGTTATGGACTGAATGGTTTGTGTCCCCAAAATTCTTCTGCTGAAATCTAACCCCCAATGTGATGGTATTGGGAGGTGGGGCCTCTGGGAGGTGATTAGGTCGTGAGGGCAGAGCCCTTATGAATGAGATTAATCCCTTGTATAAGAGACCCCAGAGAGCTCTCTTTCCTTCCACCACTAGAGAACACAGTGAACTCTCACCACACACGGAATCTGCTGGTGTCTTGCTCTCGGACTTTCCGTTCTCCAGAACCATGAGAAAAGAATTTCTGTGGTTTGCAAGCCACCCAGTTTTACAGTATTCTGGTACAGTGGCGTGAACTGACAAACCAAAAATTATCTATTTTCTCTTTTATAACATCATACAATTATGAGTTGGTATGGTGCCCTCTGGGACTAATCTCAGCAGACTGCTTGGGTTTATATCAGTGCTAATGAATAGTAATGACTCCTGATCCTCCCAATGTGTGTTTTGAGTAGAGGCTTACTAACAAAATGATCTAAAGACATTCAGTGTGGGAAAGGCATTTTCCAAGATAAGCAGCCATCATGAAGGAAGCAACGGTGTCTGGCAGCCTCCTTGTCTTACCTTTCCAAACCCCTCTCTGCTTTTCATGGTTTTCCTTTCCTCCATTTCTTAACCAAGAGGTTCCATACAGTACTACCCCCTAAAGTCTAGGAATTTGAAAGCTGACAATTCTTAAATCTTTCCAGCCCAGACATCTCTCCCAAGCACCAGACTAACATAAATAACCTGTACTCTTGAATACTCCGTGAAGAGCTAAAACTGAATTCACTTCTCGCCAACCTCTCTGCTGCTTCTAATATTCAGTTTATCCGTTCACCAGTGACTAGGTCAGAAAGCTACTTTCACGTATTCTCCTCCCATCCCCTCAACCCCTGTACTAAATCAGTTACCTGGTTTAGTTAACTCTACCTTCAAGTACCTTTTCATTCCTAGTGTCTTTCTGCTTTAGGTCAGGCAGTCAGACGTGGCTTACTGAAATAATCTCTTAATGGGTCCCCCAGGTTCTTTGTCCCTGCCAATTCATCTTCCACACTGCCACCCAGTTATCTTTCTAAAATGCAAACCTAGTCATGTCTCTCTCCTGCCTAAACCCTTTTAGGAGTAGGTCTCTATTCCCTAGAGCAAGAAGAGCAACCTCAAATGCCAACAGAGGCCAGCCAAGCAGGTAAATCGCTGAAGTGGGCCAAATCTAAGAAAACAGGGAATGGCAGGAGCTAGAAGAGACTATAGATTTTCAAATACCATGCAGGGCAACTGAAACGATACATCTGTAAATCAGAACATGAGGGACCATAGACCTGACTAGTCTCCAATCTCTCTTGGCTTTACCCTAAAAGCACCAACCTAATCTTGAACTGAATTCATTACCAAACTACGTGACTTGCATAAGGAAGCCCAGTCTTGCCTCGCTCCTTCAGGCCAAAGGCTTGCCCTCTGTGCCCTGGTAGGTTCCATATAAAAGATGGTATCTAACATCCTTGCCATGGTCAATGTCACACTATGTACTCTCAGCTAGTTACAGCTTTCCTAGTAGTACGTAAGCCCTTTAACACCAACTTTTTCCTATTCTTCTTTTGCTAAGTGGTTGGTGAATAAATAAATGGCTATATTAAAGAATATACTGAAGACTCTTTTACTGTAAACGGTTTCCATAAAGAAACTTAGAAGTCTAAAATCTAACTTAATGATAAACAGTATACATTACCAAGAGTAATTTCCATATGTTATATGCAAAAACCAGTTTTTGTTTTCAAATTTACTTTTAGGTTTTAAAAATCTTCCTGTTTAGGTTATAAGCTTCAAATATTCTCTAACTAGAAATCAGTTTGGGTTAGCTGCCACTGATTTCCTGAGAATTTCTATTCCATTTCAGAAAACCCATGCTTTTTTAAAAATAAGGCTTATTATAAGTTCTAGCAAAAATATATATACTATGGTTTATTTTCATGAATTAAAAATAAATCTATTTTGAAGAAAAAGCTCCAAAATTATACTCAGGGAAAATATTGTTCATCACATATAATAATAATGTTAACTATTTACCCATCAAACTTACATAAAAGGCCTCCACCAACGGCCTGAAGCACGGTTAACACTGGGAAGAAGTAAAGTGCAGCATAAATACTTTTAAACCGATCCGACTTCCCTAACCCACAGGCAATCTTCTTCACCAGCAGAGGTCGCAGCAGCATCATGAACACCAAGCAGAACGCGTAGTAGATAAACACAATGGTGTAGCTGTAAAATAAATAAGGAGTTACAGTATCAAAATTACGTTTTAAAGTAGTTTATCATTGATCATTTTTAAATCAAAGATACTATAAAAGGTTAAAAAATTATATTAAATCTACCCATAGACTATTCATATTGGCCAAAAGGACTCTCATACATTATTGAAAAGTGCATGCTGGTCCCTTTCCAGGAGGTAGTTTGGAAATGTGTATCCAAAATCCTAAAAATGTTTATATCTATATCCTTCTGTCCAGCAATTTTACTTGCAGAAACTTATCAAAGGGAAATAATCAGGGATATGGAAATAACTTTATGAACAAGGTTTTTATTGGATCACATAATAAAAAAACCTCAGGAAGAAAACAGAAAACTGGTTAAATTTTATAGTATTCATGCTGGAAATATTATATAGCCAGTATTTCATTAATTGAAGCTGAGGGTACAGCTCTATGAAATCAACAGAGGACTTTATCAGTCCTTTATATATAAATTTTAGCCACACACATATGGAAAGAGAGAAAGAATATATACATGGAATAAATAATTTACAAGGCTTAAAGCTGGNCAGTCCTTTATATATAAATTTTAGCCACACACATATGGAAAGAGAGAAAGAATATATACATGGAATAAATAATTAAAGCTGGGCAGGTGGAAAAGATTTTTCATATCTTTACATCTGGATCTCTTTTTTTTTAATTGCCTTTTTACATATGTGCATGTGTGTTTTAATAATTAGTAATATTAAGAACTTCTCAAAAAGGACTATTTCATTGAGCAGATTATGTAATGAAAACTTGCTATAACAATGAGAACATAATTACCAGACTCTTCTATATCTTTACCAAGAAAAATGCATCAAATGAACACCAACAATTTATAGAAATTCTAAAAACGAAGTAGTCTGGGGTGATATTATACAGAATGCTATGAATTTGATACTTTTAAAACAAAACATTCTGATGGAAATTACATTTATTTTGGGGAAAGAAACAAAAATAATAAAGAAAGAACATTAACCCAAACACTCTAATAATAAATTCCGCTACTATTAGGTGCTTCCCATGTGTGAGGCACTGCACTGTATCTGGTATGTATGGGCTTATTTAATCCTCACAATCACCTTGCGAGGGATCATCATTCCCATTTTTTCCAATGGAAAAACTGAGTTACAAGAGGCTCTTAACATGCTCAAGTTAACACAACTGTCAGACCCGGGATTCAAACTGAAGCCTGTTTTTAGCTCCAAGGCCCATACTCTTTCCTGTATGTCAGATATTGCTTTTCTGCTGAGTATCAAAAAGGTTTCCATACAAATCCCTTTTTATGAAAGATATATGGCTGTAATACTTTCAACAATAAAGATATATTTTAAAAAATAAGATAAAATAAAAAAGAAACATATATGGCTTATTTTATAAATGTTTATACACGCTTCAACACCAATACAATAATACTTTCACTTCTATTATACTGAGATGTATTTCTGTTTTATCCTATCAGACGACATATCCCTCAAGAGAAGAAAATCATTTCTGTGTATTTCCCCCAGTGCCTAGATGCCATTTTACAATGTTCAACCTGTTGAAATAAATGAAATCTCTAATCGTAATTTTTCATAAAATGATATTAAGTCTAAGTCAATACTTACAGTGGGTAGACAGCTTCATGAGTACAGTGCACTGTGGTGATGTAATCTGGACTTGGGTTGTAAAGCATTGTGTACCAATCAGAAAGCATCAATACTCGACAGGAACGGATAGAAAGAACGCCCACTGGATCACTCACAAGCAAGGTGATGATAGCTGCCATGCTGCATTCAAATAGTGCGGTAATGTGTTGGAAAAGTGCACTGGAACTAGTGAAACAAAAGCAGCACAATTACCGGAAATTTTTAGTGCTAAATGGCTTTTCATAAAACCTGGATACGATTCAAGATATGGCTTCTAAAAAGAAATTTTAACTGTTAACTCCTGAAACTAAGTATCTTCCAAATAGGTAAGAAAAGGCAACCATATATGAAAACCACTTGAAAAGATTTAACCTCGTTTACTAAAAAGGGATTACACCTTGCCAGCATCCTATGCAGAAGAGCAGAAATTAGATCTACCTTTATCTTTAGTATCTTGCCAAATTGCTATTAAAAATTTCTTATTTATGCATCATTTAAAAATTATCTTGAAAAAGGTACACAAAAATTATATGTAATGCATATTAGTTATAAAGTATAATAAATACTGTAAGCTCACCATCTAACCCAATAACTAGAACTTATATCTACCTCTGTTCCTCTCCACTCCACACTCCTGTCTCTATCCTAGAGGTAACCACTATATTAAACTGTCTTTTATCACTTTTTCTTTCACTTCTTTTTTAAAAAAAAAAAAAGTTTTATTGATTTTTAGAGAGAGAGGAAGAGAGACAGAGAGAGAGAAACATCTTTTCTTTTTATCACCTTTCTTTCATATGCAGTCCACATATGACCACCTGGACCACTTCCATTCCCACCCTAACAGCACGCATTTCATACCTTCATGCCATTGCTCAAGCTGTTTCCTCTGCCTAAAACGGTCTTTTGCCCCCAAGTCTTTCAGATCCTACCAGGCACAATTTATCTCTTCCTTTCTTTATGATTCCAGAGCATTCTGTTTACAATACTTTTATATACTTTTTGTTGATACACTTTTAAGACTGATTTATATTACATTTAGTTGTATACACATTTGTCTTCTCTATAAGACAAATGACTATAAACCATGTCAGTTATGTGTGTATCTCCTCCTCTGATCTTCTGAACCTAAAACACAGTGCTTAATAAATGTTTATGGAATTAATGTGTTAGTATGAGTTTTCGTAATTAGGTAGCAGCTATATTATTTTAACTACATTGTGCTAGATTTCTAGCAGTAAATTAATTCACAAAGTATTTGTTCTAAGACAATAAACAGTTTGTAAACACAAGCAATTCTCTGTAAAAAAACAATAAGGATTATAATTTAAAAATTTTCTTCAGCCCAGCCGGGCATGGCTCAGCAGTTGAGCATCGACCTAGGATCCAGGAGATCGCGGTTCAATTCCTGGTCAGGGCACATGCCCAGGTTGCGGGCTAGGCAGCTGATCAATGACTCTCTCATCATTGATGTTTCTATCTCTCTCTCTCCTCCTCCTTTCCTCTCTATTAAAGATATGTTGAAAAAAAATAAAATAAAATTTTCTTCAAAAATACACACAAACAAATGTAAAAAAAAAAAAATTCCTTCAAGCTCATTTAAAGTAAAACAAAGGATACTTCCCTTAATAATTACTGAGGCATGCCCTATTGTTATGTTTTCTTGCCATAATCAAAAGTAATCAGAATATAAAGCAAAAAAAGGTTTACCACTTTTAAAACATAAGTATAATTACTTGATAAGGCCTTCTAACTGATAATTATTGCAACATCAGTCCATCCAGGTATATTCATAGAAAGTGCTAACCTCTTTTTCCCTGAGTACCATTCGATGAAGAACCAATGCAAAACAAGAGGAAGCATAGCCATGAATCCAAGATAGAGCCAATCATAGAGTTCTGGAGACTCTGTGCAAGGCTGACAATATTTCTGTGCATTTGTTCTCTGTCCTCTTGGACACACCTACAACATATAAAAATAATATTTTATGTACAGATATTACTTTAGAACATTAACACACCCCCCCAAATCTTTCTATAAGATACCACATTTCTGTTTACACGTTTCTTTACATGTGCATCTTTTAGAAATAAAAAAGAGAAAGCGTAAGTAAGATAAAAAGAAATCTACACTGTGTTTCCCTATACCTGTATAATGCTCTTAAAGGAGTCCTTTTACTAAATTACTAAAATAGTTGACTAATATTAAATGAAAAACCTAGTTATTAACATCGTATAAAAATAATTGCAAACAATTGTTCTGGAATTGTAACGTTAACTTACTTGGATATCCAAGTCACTATACTGTATCTTTAATAAAAAGTAACTTAAAATTACTATAAAATTATAAAATGTTTTTAAAAACAGCAACTGTGACTGTCAAGAAAGATGTATTATAGACAATCAATTTGACAACACAAAGATTTTATTAATGCCTACATATTCTTTTATAAATTAATGAGTAGACTGAAAAAAAAGATATTCTACACGTGAAAATATTTCAAAAGATTTTACAAATGAAATAATATACAAGCATTAAGACTTACCCCACATTCTCCATAGAGTTCAGTTGAGCCATTTTTAAATAGTAGGGTCTTCCCACAGTAAAGTCCAAGGCATGCTGGTTGAATATCGACAGCTTTTTAAAAACAAATGCCAGTACAGTAACATCTTTTGTAATTATAAAAAAAAATGCAATAATAGTTGAAGTGCTTGGCAGAAATATCTCAACACAGTTTCAAGTAAAAAAATCATTTGTATTTTGACAAAAGTCTTAATGCATTTATGTTAAAAATTAAATTTCTCCTTTACTCTGTGACACTGCAAAAAGTTCTAGTGGAACCTTGTTCTTAACACTGTTTCTTATGATTGAAGTCCTCAGTCCTCTACCTACAGGTCAGGATGTATCCCTAGAACTCAAAGCCTAACGTGGCCTTGTCTCCAATGGTTCCGGCCAGCCACTCCCCTTGATTAAATGGTAAGACTTCTGAATTTACGTTGTTTTTTAAACAAGAGGATGAGTAGAGGATCACTCCTTTTTTTTCTCTCAGTCAGGATATTAAGTGCATATGCACGTGCATGCGTGCACACACACACACACACAATCTATTATCACCTTCTTTCATAACAGAACATATTTTAATACCAAAAAAGCAGGACATAATTTCAGAATAAAGGACAGGCCTGTAGAGTAAATAAATTCACCTTTATAAAACGCTTATTTACACTGTCCTAACTTCTGCCATTTTTGTCGAGGACAGGTGAAAATTTCATCAAGGCTGTCACTGGGCCTCTGACTAATATTTGGGAACCACAGGCCTTGAGACTCAATCCCCTGATCTCAAGGCCTGAGAAAATTAAAGCAGCTCTACTTTACAAAAATACCCAGGGCCCACAGATTGTCTTTGACCTCATCAACAGGCAGAGGTTACTGAAGGAGGGTTTTTTCCTCAGCGACACTTCCCTTCAGTCACTGATTCACTCACTCCATAAGCATGCACTCAGTGTCAGATTCCACTGGGTAGGGACAGCTAAAGATCACAGAGGGACATGCCAGCGTCCCTGCCTTCAAGGAACCTACAGCCTAGTATAGAATAATTCCAAAACAACTGTGGTCAAATGTAAATTAATTTGAAGATTATGCATTTTCTAATTATTCTTGATCGATCATTTTCCAAATTATTCATGAATTCACAATCTAGAGACAGCCTGGTCACAATGCCCTTTCTCCTTTCAAACTCGAGTAGACGTTTGATTTCTTTCTCCTTTTGCTGCTGAGAAAAACACACACAACTGAAATAGCACTGACTAAAATACCTCAAGCTTAACAGTCTCACTTTTATCAAAAATTTTTTTTTAAATCCAGGGGCTTCCTTACTTTGGCACTTATTTTTAAACCAACTGGAATCACAATGTTCTAAACTAACAGTCGGAAATGAACTGCTTCAGATTTTTTGAGAAGGCAGAAGTTAAAGAACTGGACGTTTCTTCTACACAGGCACTGCATCTAGTAGGTGCTTAATAAATACATCCGAATGTAAGGAAAGTTTCTCAGACCCCAAGTCTTAAAAACCAGCAAAAGCTTATCAGCCAAACGAAACCCTGACTGCCCGTGTCCGTTCGCTTTCCGCCTGCGAGACATCTCCTTCAGCAAACGAGAGCTAGAACTTTGACCTTTTTTTTTTTTTTTTGCAATCTTTGTGAAGGGCCCTATAAACTTATGTTTGACGCTGAAGCAAGAGACAGTAGTTATGCGCAGTTAGCTTCTGCTTCCTTGACTGTCTTTCTGCACTTGCTAATGTCCGCGCTCTAAATTTTGAAGTCAACCTTTATGTATGTTAAACAAAGGGATCGGCGCGGAGGCTGAAGTGACGTTTGGAACATAACAGAGGCCTAGCCTTTCCCCCGCCCCGCGCGCAGCGGGCCTCCCCTCGGCAGCCCCTCAGGAG